TACCTACTACTACTACCTACTACTACCTACTACCTACTACTACCTACTACCTACTACTACCTTACACCTACCTACTTACTACCCTACTACCCTACTACTACTACTACTACCCTACTACCTACTACTACACCTACTACTACCACCTACTACTACCACCTACTACTACCACCTACCACTACCACCTACCACTACCACCTACTACTACCACCTACTACTACCTAACCTAACTTATCCCCTACTCACTACTTACCTACCTACTCATGCATAACCTGACTACTTACTACTCTCACACTACTACCTACTACCCTTGACTACTATCTGACTGACCACCACCACCCACCACCTCACTTACTACTACCACCACCACCACCTACTACTACCAAACCCACCCATCACCTCACTACCCTAATCTATCCTACACTATTTATTCCTACTAAGCTACTACTACATCTATCTATCCTACTCTACTACTAGTTTACTACCCTTACTCACTACTCAAACCTCTACTTTTACATCACACTACTCGACTACCTCACTACTACTACCACCCTACTACTACTACTACTACTACCACCCTACTACTACTACTACTTTTACCTATCCACCCTACTACTAAACTACTACTATACTACCTACTAACTACTACTACTACTACTACTACTACCACTACCACCTACTACTACCTACTACTCTACCTATACTACACTTTACTATCTACTCACTTAACTTGACGTTCATCCTGTATCTACTATCTAACTATCTACCTACTTACTTATCTGCCTTACTACATCTCCTACTACTACTCAACTACCTACTACTACTACTCCTAACTACTACTACTACTACTACCTACTACTACTATAACCTACCTACTACTACTACTTATCTACTACCTCACTACTTACTACTTACTACGTACTACTACCTACTACTACTATTTTACTACCTTACTACACTATTTTTCACTACCTTACTACTACTAACCTACTAACCTACTACCTACCTACTACTACTACTCTACTTACTACTACCTATCGTACTACCTACTACTACTACTTACTACTACTTATTACTTACTTACCTTACTTACTACTACTACTACTCAGCTACTACCTACTCACTACGTACTCTACTACTTACTACTTACCTCACTACTACTACACTACTACCTACTACCTACTACTCACTACTACTACTACTACCTACTACCACCTACTACTACTACCTCTATCACAACTACCTACATACTACTTACTATACTATCTCCTTACTACTTCACTACTTACTACCTTTACTATTACTACTTTATTACCTACTCTAACTACCTACTAGCCTACTACTACTACTACCCTAGACTACTACTACTACTACTAGCTCTACCCCTCACTCATCTATAGCTCACCTACTTTTATTCTACTACTCACCTACTTACTACTACCTCCACTGACTCAACCTACCTCACTCGTACTACCCCTACTACTACTACTACCTACTACACTACTCACTACTTACTACCTAACTTACTCACTACTACCTACATACTTACTACCCTACCTACCCTTATCTACTACTACTTACCTTCAATACTACTACTTAACTACTACTTTACTTTTATAACACCTTCAGACTACTACTACTCACTACATACCTACTACTACCTACTAACCTAACATACCTAACTACTAACTACTACCTACTACTACTACTACTACTACTAACTACTACTACTACTACTACTACCTACTACTATTACCTACTACTACTACTACTACCTTACACCTTACACCTACTACTACCTACTACTACCTACTGTACCTACCTCAGCTACACCTATACTACTTAACCACTACTACCTACTACAATACCTGTCTCCTAACACTACCTACCCTACTTACTACTCTCCACCTACTATTCTACTACTCACCTTAACTACTACCTCACTACTACCTACTACTCCTTAATCTACCTACCTACTTACCCTACTACTACGAATACCTACTAACTACTACTTACCTACTACTACTTACTACTACTACCTACTCTACTACCTACTACTACCCTAGACTACTCAACTAACTACCTACTACTTACTACTAACTTACTACTACTGACTATCCTACTTAGCTACTCACTACTCTGACCTGAACTCTACTACTATCTTCCCTACTCACTACTACTAACCTACTAACTTACTACATCTCACTTCCACTACTTCACTACTACCATCCTACTACCCCTACTACTACTACCTACTACTACTACTACCTTCACCTACTACTACTACCCTCACTTTCAATTACTACTACATACTAACTACTACTACCCTCTACTTACTACTACCTCTACTACTACTACACCTATTACTACTCACTACTACTTACTACTACTACCTCACTACTTCTACTACCCTAACTACTACTTAACTAACTCTACCTACATACCTCACTACCTACACTACCTTACTTGTATCCTACCTACTACCCCTACTACCTACTGACTACCTACTTACTTACCTATCTACTCTACACTACCTACTACTACTACTCACCTACTACTCCTACTACCAACTTCTACTTACTACCTACTATTCCCTACTACTACCTACTATCCTACTACTACTACTACCTACTACTCATCCTTACACTCACTACTACCTACTACCTTACTACCTTAACTACCCTCTCCTACTATCTATCCCCCTCTCCCTTACCTCCCCTCTCCTACCTAACTACCTACCCAACCTCTAACTTCACTACCCTACCTACTACCACCCTACTCACTCCATCTACCACTACCACTTACTCCTACTTACCACCTCACCGACCCCTACCTACTAACCTACTCACTCCTCACTACCCTACTACTACTTACCTACCTCACTCCCTACTCTACTACACCTCTACCCCTCACTTTACCTCCCCCCAACCTACCACCCACCACCACCACCTACTCACTAACCACCACCACCAACCACCCTACTACTACCCACCACCCCACTACTACTACTACTACTACCATACTATTACCTACTACTACTACTATTTACTACCTACTACTACCTATTACTACTACTACTACTACCCTACTATACTACTACACCTACCTACTACTACTACTACTCAACCACCTACTTACTAGCTACTACTATACCACCTACTAACTACTCATCACTACTACTACCTACTACTTACTTACCCATCTAACCAACCTACTTACTACTAACTTACCTACTCACTTCACTACTATCCCACTCTACTACCTACTCACTACTACTAACCCTACTACTACTACTACCTCACTCACTCCTACTACCGTACGACTACTACTCTACTACCCTCATACTCCTACTTCCACTCACTCCTCTATCTACCTCCTCCACTTACTCTACTACTTACTCACTCACTCTTATACTACTACTTACATCTATTAACTTAACCTACCTACACATACTACTATTACTACCCTCACTCCACTACTTCATATACCGAACGCTACTATACTACCTACTACCTTAACTCTACTTACTATCCCTACTATATCTACTACTACTTACCTACTACTACTACCCTACTACTACTACTACTACTCACTATCTCACTAACTACTACTACCTACTAACCTACTACTTACTACTACTACTACTACTCACTACTACTACTTACTGTACTACCTACTAACTCACTCACTACTTACCTACTACTCACTACTACTACTACCCCTTACTACTACTACCTACTACAACTAACATCCACTACTTACCTATCTACTACCTCACTACTACTTACTACTACTACCTACTTTACTCACTACTACTACTACCTACTACTACCTACTTTATCTACTACTACCTACTACTAACTACTACCCCCTAGCTACTACTACTACCTACTCTACTATCCTACTTCCTACTTACTACTACTCAACTACTACTACTTACCTACTACTACTACTTCTACTACTACTACCTAATACTACTACCTACTCCCCTACTACCTACTATAACTACCTACCCTACTTTACTTACTCCACTCATCTACCCTACTCACTACTAACTACTAGCTACACTACCACTACTTTCTCTCTCCCTACTACTTACTACTTTCACCTACTACTACTTAACCTAACCTACTACTACTCACACTACCTTAGCCACTTACTATCTATCCTCACTACTGACTACTACCTACTCACTACTACTACTACTACTACTCTCTACCTACCTCACTGACTACCTCCACTCCCCACTGACCTACTACCTATCTCCTCACTACTACTACTACCTACTAACTATCTACCTAACTTACTACTACCTCATTATTCACTACCCTACTACAACCTACTACTCTTACACACTACTACTTTAATATTCCATAACTATTCCATCAGTTAAATCTCACTTATCATTCCATCTGTTTGTTTTTACTTATTCTCGTTGTAGTAGTTATTATTACTTACTTGTTATTTGATCTCCCTTAATACTATTTATAACTCCTTCAATTATGATGTCCCTATTTTATATTTATTATTTTATTTTTTTGTTGTTATTCTTAACCCATTGTACTCTAATATACTTCTTATATTACTATACCCGTCTCGCTTACTCTTCTCACTTTTCTTTTTTTTTACATATTTTTTTCCCAGTTTTTACTACTGCTATTATTATTTTCACTAGAGTGTAATTACTCTATGTAATCTTTAACTTTGTACTGATATAACTTAACTCATAACGTGGATACTGCTCATCATCATGATTTTTTTGTCTTCGATTTTGATGTAATGATATATGTGCTTGTTAGTCTGTATGTAGTGAGTATTAGAGTGGGCGGCAATAGACAAGTAGCTAAACGCTAAAAGTACAGTTGGCTAATCACATATCACTCGTGGTATCTATTATTTATTATCCATGCTCATATTAGGATCTTTTCTGAGAGTGTGAGTGATATTCTGTAGTAAATATGATACTTTAGGTTTCATAATGTTAATGCTTATATATCTTCCAGTTTCTGGACGTGAATGGGTGTTGACAATCATTTATTGTCTGTTCTTCATCAGAGTGTAATCTGTATTGTTATTGTTTATTACTTTATGACACGGATCCTAGCTATTATGATTATAATATAAGGTGAGATTAATAGTCTGTTCCACAATTGAAAAGTGTGATATTATCATTATCTCTAAAATAATTCCAAATTAAAATAATCTATTGCTGATATTATATTCATCTGAAAAAATCGTTCTCTAAAATACATAATTGAGTGCGTGATTTAGTTTTATGCATTAAAATATTAATATCTAACATACAGTGTTTTAGTTGTTATATGTAAAGGGACATTAAAATTCTTTTCACAGAGCGAGAGTGCGGAGGTAAACAAAAAACAATAGTGGTATAAGGTCCTCAATTCACAAAACTAATTTGCCAAAATTATTTAAATATTCTTCATTCACAGGCTATCATATCAATAATATAACATTATAAAATTATCTTGCGATTTTTACTACTATATCAACTCTTCTTTAAATTCGCTTAAAATGTTATGAAGGGAGATCTCGGCGTTTCACACAATCCAAACATGTAATAAATAT